AATCTGCCCGTTCCAACATTTTAGGGTGAAGGCTGGCGAAAAAAATCGTAAAAACTCTTTGTCTTAGTAGATTCGATTCCTTTTCGTCATTTGTTCAACAAAACAGTAGTCAACAAAATAAAAAAACAACGCTAGAAAGCAATCAACTATCCTAAAAGTGTTGCTTTTATGAGCGCTGAAAGTTCGTGATTCGTCGATCTGTTAGATACCTTCGTTTTTTAAAACGTGATTATATGAAGAGCAATTGTGCGCATTTCTTACTACTTTTGCCACTAACCAAATGGTCTTCTAGCGTTAGCGGAGAACTCAAAGAACGTCGGTAAATTAGCACTGATTGAGGAACGTCTTTGTGAAATCTTGAAACAAGATCTTGCTTCATTAATCTCTAAAGACATCACACAGTTCACTTTTACTAGATTAAATAGAGTCTAGAAAAGCTCAAATATTGCGAAAGGTATCTCATAAAACTTTTCTTGGTGAAGACCTATTTTTATTCCTATGCATGAAAGCATCTGTACATAGCTGAACAACGCAAATAAAAAAGATGATCTACTCTTAAGTGTAAACAAAGAGTCGTACTGACAACTTAGGAGCTTGTGACTACTTAATTGTGCGTTTTCTCGTTGTGAGCCATGCTACTATAGCAAGCGCCAGAGAAATTTCTGTGTCTTCCTGTGTATTACAAGCGTAGCCAAATAGGTTGTCTTCGGTCGAAGGATTTAAAGAACATCTATTCTCTCCTGAAAACCGACTTTCATCAAACCGGGGTAGCGATGACCTATAATTTTTAATACTGATGAGTTACACGTGGTTACCATAAAAATGTCTAATCGGCTAATATTCCAATGTCTTCGCTTTCTTCAGGGCCAATGAATCGAAGTCAATAGTTCACAAGTGATACTTTATGCGATATAAGTGTTCGATACCGCATCGGTTCGAATCCACTGGAAAAAAGCATTAACCTCGCATCATCTCAGTGATGTGGGAAAATCCATCCCACTTTCTTTTCACCACTAGGTCTATGGTATTCCCAGTTTCTACTGACCTCCTGTGGAGCCTAGTGGCTATCATCGTCGTCTAAGATGCACCATCTGTTCGAACCACTTGATTCACTCCCGCTATCAAAGCGTGTACGGCTCCTTCAATGACCTTTAGTAATCAACAAGGTTAGTATCTGGAATTCACTTTCTAACCTATATGATATGGTACATATTCAATTTCACATTCGGGCATCGTGTTCAAGAACGTCTCTTGGTCCTCCATCACACTCGCGCGAGATCCAGATTTCAAATGCATGCTTTAATGCAGAAAGAACAAAAGGATAAATAGGATAACGCTTTCGACGTTGAATAGTTCCTGAAGATATTTCCATGCATTCGACTTCTACTAAATATCGCTAGAGGTGATTGAGAGCACATCTGGTTCATTCAGTGGCTTGCGGTGGTCTATCAATACATCATTTCAGAGCTGCTATCTCTCTAAAAAAAAGGAATTAAATTGCCAAAGTCTAGAGGAATGGAAAGGTTACTGAAGACGAGACTTGAAATCGAACCAATGAGAATGCGTATGTTGCAGAGCACCTGCGGTACACGCGCTATTGCAAAAAGTTGCATAGTAGAAAGTGGGTTAGCAGCGAGTTGCTTTTAGCCTTCATGACAAAATTCTGAATGTCTCTGTGATCTAGCCAAACAGCCCGCTTTTTTGGGTTCTCGACTCAAAATATAAGTAACTGTTGTGTTGATTTCCTTAGCAAGGCACATACAGCTAGAGTATTCGCAAAGATTTTGGAGGTGCCAGAAACAACCGCTTTCTTAACTTTAGTAGAAACAGTTATAAACACTGTTAAATCGGTAAACACTTGCTGCGTTCTACCTAATACCTGATGTCGTAAGATGATATCGTCAGTAAAGCAGAAGTAGATGCCTCCAATCGGCTTTCTCTCCAATAGTACCTCATTCTAGTTTTTGTTCAACGACTTCGAGAGTGGCTGTAAACAACTTTGACGTATTGCTTGTTGAAACTTTCTCATTACAACTGTTATGCCGCTCTAGAATAACGGAATTATGGATGTGATGTCCTTGCAGGATTTATGAAAGATCTCTGCGCATCAAGAAGTGACATCGATATGATTCGTTGTCCAAAGCTCTCATGACTTGTGTCTGAACTGGGTCGAAAACTTTTCCAGCCGATAGAAGTGAGTAAAACCATCGTGATTAAAGGATAAAAAAGATAAAGCTCTTGACGCTGATCAATCTCTGAGCCTCAAAATTGGAGACGAATGCACTATGCATTCGTTTTCAATTTTACACTTCGTTTAAGGTGATTAAATGCATATACGGGTTTTATAATGACTCGCGGAGTACCGAGTCAGTGCTGCTTATCCTCCCAACATGTCTGAGACCTAGGTTTCAATTTATCGACCCCGGAGAGATGGATGGCTTGATGATCCATGAGCGCGTGGTCGAACCATGGTCTTGTGTGCGACGCTGAGCACCTCTGACCACTATGCCACATGCGCTCCTTTCTGTTATATCGACTGTTATGCAAAGCACCTCTAACCACTGCGGCAGATGCTCCCCTCTTTTGCGATACTATAAAAATTTCTTTATCCTACTAATCTGACCTTTCGTAGTGAATCTTTTTTTGAAGCCACGCTTGCTTATGTAGTCATTCTTCGCCCAACGACATGCCAAATCCGTTGAGATGACGAGAATGAAGCAAATGGGAATAATGGAACGCAAGGAGACTAGGCTGCAGTAACCATAACCATGCATGTCATCATTTCATGGAAAACACTGAGGAGCTGAACAACACTGTCTGCCTGATTTTTTACTGACTTAGTATCGTGGATTCTCCCAGTGTACGTCGTTAATGATAATTAGCCACAGGATCATCAGATTCTCAGGTGTAGCGCTATCTGAAGCAGACGCTGTGTAGTTCCTGGTCAAAGAGCCTACATGTACAGCATCAAAGAAGAGATTCGTTTGGTCAATACGTTCAAAACAGTGATCACGTATGTCCTTCGTACAAATCATAAAAACACCATCACATTTCGGCGGTTGCATATCGTTGTGTCTTGTCTTGTAACCTTGTTGGATCCCATCCATCAAATACGAATGAAACAACTGGTTTCCCTCAATCTTTCTTCGAACACAATTTTATTGCAGCTTAAGCTATTACATTTTTCAGCCTATCAAAATTTTCACTTGCTAGAATTGAGATGGAGCAGTCAGTGATCATCCAACGCTTTATCGATGACTCTCAGTAAGTCATATTACCGAGTCTGCTCCTTTTATCTGCGCATACATTGAAACTATTCTCTAGTTATCTGGGAGCATTTGATGGTATACAGAAATTACATTTAGATGTACATTTGTCAAAAACTGTCAAAAAATACTGTCACTGTCAAAAAGTAGCGAAGATAAAGAAACATCTGGATATATCCTTAGGTATTTGCACATATCCGGCCTCACAATTTATATGCTTCTTGAAATAAGACCCTAGAAAAAAGTGAAGGATAAAACGTTTGGCATTCATCAAGCCGTGAAAGATTCGTACCCTCTCGGGTGGCTCCATTGCAGATCTACAGAGCACGGTGTGGAGGGTAACATAGCGAGCGCGGGGCGCAGAAGAGAACTAACAGCCATTGACTAAATTATATTTAATTACATATATCTTATATATCTTATTATACTATTATTATTATATTACTATATATATTATTATATTACTAATATATCACATATATCCAATATCTCAGCTAAATAACTATAATATTGTGTACATATTTACGTATAACATATAACAATCACTCACTAAATATAAATACAATGTCTTATATATTATCAATATAATTACAGTTCCGAGAGTTCTTGTGTTTTTACTGCTTTATCGCAGTTTTATGATATACCGAATATGTTTCGGAAAATTGAGTGATAAGCAGAAAATCCGACCTCAGACGGTAGTTGAACCCGCGTTTCATCCATACATGGGACGCGTGCTAACGCTACACCACTGAGGCCACCGCTTACTCACCACTCATTCTTTGATATCTCTCTATCATGTCTATCAGCCACCAACCTTGAGCAGGTTTGCTCGAGTAAGCAATATCGCTCTATGAATATGTTAAGCTGACAGTCATAGCCTTATGAAAGTCTAAGAATTCCTATTCTTTTACTGCCTTGTCGCAGTGTCATGAAGTTACAAGCATATCCAAGAGAATTGAGTGGTACGGAAAAATTAGATCTCAGGCGGGACTTGAACCTATATTTCACCCATAGCGAGGTGCGTGCTACCATTGCATCACCGAGACACCGTTTCGCCACCACTTTCGATCACATTACTTACTTTTTATACACTTTTTATATTATTTGTTCTATTTGCTACTTGTATTTATACTTATTATATTATGCCATTTATTAATTATTTATCCATTTTATAACTTGTTTATTTGTTATCATTTGTTTACTATATTATTTATTTTATTTGTCTACAATTTATATATTCATCTATTTATATTTAATTTCATATTATACACATGTATATATAACATATAACATATGACACATAGCAGTTTCCATATATATACACATATCTAAATTCATGTATATTATTGTCTTATATATTATGAATATTAATAGATATATATTTCATCTTTAACACAAGCAAAATAAAAGTTATCCGTTTGTTGCAAATTAAATGCATTACGGAAAGAAAAATTCTAGTGATAAATGCATGAATTTATGTGGCCTATTGTGATTAATTTTGCATAATGAAGAGTGATAGATGAGAAATCAACGAACAATGATTAAATCGTAGCGTCGTGAGAGGCCCGAAATAACGGTAGTTCATGAGACGAACGATAGCTGTATCTCACTAGCCGATTAACCATAGAATGCACCAGGTGTTCCCTATTTCAGTCTCTGTTAATCTAATATGATGACATAATGACTGCAGACAGCGACACCGGAAACGACTAACAGCATATGATTGTTTCGAAGGTCAGGAAATGAAAAATCCTGTGGCTGATAACAGCACATTTGAAGCGTTCGAATGTGAACACTTCTATGCTTTTTCCGATCATAAGCAGGCATTTCATTCGTACACTCTCAAAATCTGTACGCACTACTAATCCTAAAAACACTGTTATAGTCTCACCAGCTTAAATACTATACATTCGCTGCGATTCGCCTAGGTTCATAGTTCGCCAGTCAAGGAAAGATAGGGAGGAAAGACATTATTTCAAAATAAGCTATATAGGGAAAAAATGGCGCAAGAGTATACAACAATCAACGAGTGCGGCCACTTCAAGGAATCAATTTAATATATCGGTCAACGCATCACCATATGGTGCGTAAAAAACTCAGCAGATGTCCATAACACAAAGAAAACCTCAAGCCATTCTTCACTCTCGATTCCAACAACTATACGGCCCATACAGACCTCTTGTGAAAAACCACTGGTGATCTCAAAGAATTTCCTCTACGCAAAATCTGAAGACATTCCGCAATGGAACGGAGGTGATAAACCGCTACAAAAAACAATTCATTATTTTCATTCAATTTAAAGAATTCACTTTCTCATATGACATATTTGAAATGCCATTCACAAGGTGAAAGCACTTTATAGGTTGACTCGGGGGGAGATCCAAATTAAAAACGCTTAATAACAACATATCGTCTTTGAAATTTGTTAAAGAAACTTCAAAGATAAGAATTACAACAACAATAACAACAGCAACGACAACAGATCGGTTAAATGACCACTGAGAGAAAGATCGATATAATTACACGATGCATAAATGAAGATTACTAGCGGAAGATATTCTGAGAGATGGCGGATGTTCTTTGGATTAGAACTATTCGTCCTGAATGAAAGTGTAATATTTTACACTGTTGCACAGAATCAATGATATTGCCATTCCGATAGTCTGAAAGTTGTGCACATAGAAAAAACTCTTAACGACTGTAGATTTTACAAAGATTCTGAAAATCTCCACAAAGGTTATTCTAAACGTCCCTCTTTTTTCCTGTCAAAATAACTCTCTTTTTTGTGTTTATAATTTTTTAAACATGGAAATGAGATTATCACAATCACAGTCTCCCATTACTAATGCTCTTGTTACTCCTGAACACTTGATTAGTTCAAAAACTCTTCACCAATTTCTCAGATCAGATGTTGTCGAGAAGTTATCGTTATGTATAAAACACTTGAATCGTTCTCGAAATACCAAAGAAGACTTCCCAATTTATCTTCAAAATGCATACAATACAGGATTAATAAACCACCATCAGAGCAGCGAAACCGAAACCAACTCCAGCAAAGATATACGTCTGCTCGTCCAACCATCGCAAGAGTTTCTCGGTGGCATCCCTGAAAAGAAGAAAATCAAGTGTTCAAACACAATTAAAGCATATTTCACACAGGTTTACACATTCTCTCACCCATATCAATCATATCTCACACTAAAAATATTACGAATTGTATATCCATGAATGTTGAGTGACAGGCAAAACCTTGAGCCTTGGGCGGGATCTGAACCTACGTCTCATCCCTTCCGGGAGCATCCTGCTCTTAACAGGAAAAACTCCTGCTCGACGTTTCAAAATTTTGCATACCACTCAACATTTTTGAATAATAGTCGCAACATCATAAAAATTGCCTTGGAAGCGCCAAAATACAAAAAATTCTTGTGAATTATCTACGCCCAAAAGCGTTTGGCTTAATAGGGCATAAAGCCAACATGTGCCCTAGCAGAACAAACCCGTTCGTAGTTAGTAGCCGACAATTATCATACTTCAATTTCCGAAACAGCCGCGCTAGTGTAGTAATTAGCACGCGCTCCCCGGAAAAAATAGGATGAGGATTCAGCTCCGACCCAAAATTCTGAGTTTTACATATCGCTTATCATTGTTGGTCAAATAGCTATAACCGAGATTCACAGAAAGTAGATGTTTTTAAACTGTTAAGGGCTTTTCTTCAACAAATTCTTTTGGAGTAATAAAACAGCACTGCTGCGTTTAGGCTCATTATACTCAACTCAAGTCTCATACGACTGTAGATTCTCTTCCTTGAGCTTCATGAGTTTGGCATAAATTCGTTTGTAAGAGATTTACCACGGATTTGTCCAGTAGCTCATTCACAATATAACCGGGTAAAATGCACTCTTCGAGGTTCACCGAAAAATAATTTCGACAACCTCGCAACGGAGTAGAGGGAGTAACGAACTTCAAAAACCAATATTGGTGCCAACTAAAGACGGGAACGAAGAAATTAAAAATAAAATTTAATATAACAGAACGTTAGTGACCACTTACAATGTTATACACCGAACTATTGAATGCTTGTGAATCGTAGTAATAGATAGTACACATAGGGTCGATCGGTATCGGTGACCAGGCACGTCCAGCTTGTGACTGGCGACAGCAGGATAACGGCACAAACGACCTGGTGCCACGGTCGGTGTTCGTTATGAACCAGAACGAATTATAGTAGTCGCGTGGCCCAACACTACCACAGCACTGCTGCTAAACATCACACAGATCACGTCACTCAACTCGTTATCATAGTACTGCAACATGGACAGTTAGAAATAGGCCATTCGACATCGTTTGATTACAATAAAACTGGTACAAGCTAACACCATAGCCACTATTGATTTTGTGTAAGAAATGAGTTCACATTACTTTGGACTGTACGTTCTCCAACTCAACGTATCTCTAAGGCGAGGTGACAATACAATGCGCACAAAAGACAACAATTTATGGTGAAGGAAACACATATTGTGTACTGCACAGGTCACTTGGAATATTCCTAAGAAGAAGCATGAGTTAACCCTTTAAGGACCATGAGCGTCATTTCGATGTTCACCACGCAACCTCAAATCACACTCAGCTACTGTGATGGCTGCGTCGCGTCTCATGGGAAAGCAGGCAGACAGTCAGACACGCATGCACAGACATGCAGAGCCGCTTGCCTGACTGCCTGCCAAGTGACGGCACGACGCTGTCTGCCTATCAACGCTGGCCCTCAAAGGGTTAATGAAATAGAAAAAACAAGCCATAACGACAAGGGCTTCAGGAATTATAATGATTGTCATGCAACTGGACCAAACGCCAGAAAAAAAATGCAGAACAATTACAGATGATTGGACATTTATCGGGTGAAAATCGGAATCATGATGGAAAAAAATAGCACTGTCCTTCAAAGGTTTTCGTTATTTTGGACAAATTTAGTGATATAATCTTCATCATGTGATATCCGTCCCAATCTTTTCCCTTTTCAGATAGAATTGGGTATGGGATCGCTTCACTATCGACTTTTTTCGTTGTCGTTTGTGAATTATTGAGAGCAATGTTGAATGAGAGTTTCTTCACTTCAAGCTTACAGTCGTGTGCCTCCAATTTCTGTTGCTACTGCTTTGCTGGCATCGTGCCAGACTTTTGGCAATCGGATTCATCGCCGATGATCCGATGAGCTGACGGCAACACGAGAGTGGAACGAGAGGCGGGTCCTCGAACTCATAAACCGGATCTGTTGTGACCGCAGCAGCCCATCGGCTAGTCACGTAATCATCTCCCGAATTGACACCACAGCATTCTTCCTGAAAAACAGCACATTATTTACAATGTTCCAGATATTACGCAGTTTTACACTGCAAAGCACCCGGATTTTGTAAATTGCATAACATTCGGAATAGGTAGGATATAGAGTAAGTACTACGTATTGTAGAGTACTTTTCAAGAGATTTATTTCGATTTGATTCCCAAGACTAACTTCCTATTGACCTCGGTAATGACTAAATAGGGAACTGTTTCCGTCGATCAGAGAAGTGCTTCCTGCAATGAGCAGATATGAGGTTGTTGACAGTAAAAGTTATTTACTGCTACTCACTTTTCGGCAACTACGCCTTCTCTAGAGACTGGAATGGTCAAATTAAACCCAGTTTACTCGGTCGAATCCTTTCATAACCTCCGTAAAAAGAACGTGACGCGCAAATTTTGTCCACGAAGTAAATCCCTT